AAAAGACTGCTGACGCACTGCAGGCTCAGGAAAAAAGGGCCCCCGCCCATTTTTTATGCTAATGAGCAAAATGCTGCAATCTGATTGGTCGAGAGCCTTTTTTAATGATATACGCTGCCTCCTGATTGGTTACCGGACATATGAGCGACCTTTACTACTGGAATTCGTAACAATAAAACTGTATAGAGGGTTTTACCTTTTTGTTTCAAATTTCGAATGTTCAATTCAATAAAGTGAATCATGATCATTCTCTGACATATCCACTGAACAGGCATGTTTTTCATGCATGCAAATCAAGATCGTATAGCCTGAAGCGTACCTGAAGTCCAGACAAAGATCTGTTGGCTATTGAAGCGATGAACTGAATTATCCACCAGAAAAAGTTGGCAAATTTGAATAACAAAAAGAGTGTTTTGAAACTGCAAAAAGCTAGAAATATGACTGGTTCATGCTGTCAGGGCAGCTGTTTTCAGTTCCTATTCGGCCGTTTCTCTGCTTCTAGAATGTCCTTACCGTAGATGCTTATGTTTTCTGACCCGAGAACTGAGTGAGAAGAAGCCGGAAAATAAAATGGAATTCGAAAGCGGACTTTGAGAAAGTCTAACATCAACCTTTTCAAATAATTTGAGCATAGTCACAACTTTGTTACATAACGAAAGTCAGCCGGAAAGTGCACGACTGAAAATACTGCTCTAGCTTACCTCTATCTTGCTTGATGAAAGGTTTAGTCTTGTACGTAAGCAGACTGTCAAGTTTAAGGATAGCCACAACAGGCACATGATCCAGCAGTGGATTTTCGCTGCTTTCATCTTCTAAATCGAGAGGCTGTACCCAATACACTGTGATGTCAGAAGGAATTGTAACTGAGGCGATAAAGTTATCCTTGTAGGATACGAAATTACGGCCAGGTCCTCGTGACTCCCGCTTTTTGTCTCGATTGCATAACTTATATCTTGATATCGTTACTCCGTATTCTGTTTGCTTAACTTTACTTGTGTTCAAGTTAAAGTCCCCTCCAATGATAAACGAGCGTAGCCCTTCCATCTCACAAACTTCACGCAAGAAGCGAATGAGACCGTGGAATATTTTTAGTTTAGTGACTTCGGATGGACGCCATGGTCCATGCCATGAAACTGCCAAGAAGGATGCGTTTGTTCTACGACTTCTTAATTTAACCATGGTAGTTCTTGTCCTTACCTCACTCACGTCTACATCAGATTCCTCCTTTTGCAACTTTTCCACAATTTTTGTGATTGATACCTCCGTACCTTGCACAGGGTCGCCATCAAATTCTTTCGGGCGCCACATCACCGCCGATTCCTTATCCGTAACAGCATACTCGTATTCACCATAACATTTCTCGACCACCTCTGTCTCAAATTTGTCTGGAACTTCTTGACAAAATATCACAGAGGCAGAGGAACGCTTGAGAAATGATCCAGTCAGGTGTCTCCGATTATCCGTAATTCCTTTTCCATGGTTCTTCCCGTTCATGTTGATGGTTATGATGTTATGATATGATGAATCATGTTCAGTTACCCCATCCGGGATATCTAACATTCGACTCCGAGTACCTTTATAAGTTGTAGACGCTCCTGGAGTTTTAGCTCTTGTAGGATCCTCCATCGATCAGATCATACGGACACCTTTGTCAGCTTTGTAGCAATAGTCGTGTTCGTTTGCGATTGCCTCGCGATTGCGGACGTAATTAGTCACCAGCACCCCCATTCCCTCAATTTTTCGTACCCAGAGCCAACTTTCTCTCTGTCTCTCTTAACCGCCAAGGCCCTGGCACGAGAAAAAAATCTTCACAAATTCATGGCGTGTTTCCTTCCTAAAAATGTCACAGGCTAAAACCGTTTGAATGGTCGCATCTCTGTTAGTCATACGCCATGTTTCACAACCGAATAACAGACTAGCTATAACGTTGGACCTAAAGAACTTCAGCTTAGTTTTCAATTTCAGTTGACTGCTCTTCCATATTTTTCTAAGCTTGCTGAATGCTGCTCTGGCTTTTCCAAGTCTGCTTTTCATGTCTTCATCTGAGCCCCCCTCCTAGGTCACTGTTCCTCCTAGATAAACAAATTTCGACACCGTTTCCA